AAAAAGAGAACCTACAGACTGGGGAAAAAAATTTGGTAACAACATATCTGACAAGGGTCTAATCTCTAAAATATATTAGAAAACTCAACAGCTCAACAATAAAAAGACAAATAATCCTATAAAAAAATGGGCAAAAGACATGGACAGACACTTCACCAAAGAGGACATTCAGGCGGCCAACAAATACATGAAAAGATGCTTGCAATCATTAGCCATTAGATAGATGCAAATCAAAATTGCAGTGAGATACCATCTCACCACTGCAAAAATGGCAATGATCACAAAAAAAAAAAAAACAAAACACTGGCAAGGTTGTGGGGAAAACTCTTACACATTGCTGGTGAGATTGTAAAATGGTACAATCACTATGGAAAACGGCATGGCACTTCCTCAAAAAGCTAGAAATAGAAATACCTTATGATCCAGCAATCCCACTCCTAGGTATATATCCTAGAGATATAAAAGCAGTGACACAAATAGACATATGCACACCCATGTTCATTGTAGCATTATTCACAATAGCAAAAAGATAGAAACAACCTAAATACCCATCAATGGATGAACTGATAAACAAATTGTGGGTACATACATACAATGGAATACTATGCAATGATAAAGAATAATGATGAGCCTACAAATCATCTTATAACATGGATGAATCTGGAGGATGTTATCCTGAATGAATAAGTCAAACACAAAAGGACAAATATTGCGTGATACCACTTTTATAAAAAGTCAAGGTATACACACAGAAAGCAATGTTCTTTGATGGTTACCAGGGATGGGAGGGCGAGGGAGGGAGAATCATTTACTGGACAGTAAAAACAAAAAAACCAAACCCGTTGCTATTGAGTTAATTCCGACTCACAGCAACCCTACAGGACAGAGAACTGCCCAATGGACTTTCTAAAGAGCAGCTGGTGGATTCCAACTGTCGAGCTTTTGATTAGCAGCCAAGCTCTTAACCACTGCGTCACTGGGGCTCCTACTAGATAGTAAACACGTATTAATTCTGGTGATAGGAAAGGCAATACACAATATAGAAGTCAGCACAACGTGACCAAGGTAAATGAAGACACTAAGAGGTATGCAAGAATAAAGGACAACTATGGTAAATACTGTAACACATACAATTTTGCAACAATAGTAATAAGCAAAAAATAAGTGGTTACATATGTAAATATGTATGCTCTATGGGTGTGGGAAGGCATATGGAAGTACATGAGTGTACATATACAGGTATATTTGTGGGCATATGTATATACACGTTTGTATGTGCTGCATATATATATTCATATATACAAAAAGCACATGGGGGCACAGTTATGGATACTTCCTAGACATGTCCAAATACCTCATGGGATTGATTTACTGGGTTTCAAGTCTCAGGACCATAGTCTTGTGGGACAAGTAGGTCAATTTGCATAACTTAGTTCATAAAGATAATGTTCTACACCCTAGTTTGGTGCATAGTGTCTGGGATCGTAAAAGCTTGCCAGTGGTCATCTAAGATACAATTATTGGTCTCTTCCTGTCTGGAGCAAAGGAGAGTGAAGGAAACCAAAGACTCAAGGAAGAAATTCGTCCACAGGACTAATGGAACACATGATACTGCAGCATCTTCTAGCCTGAGACCAAAAGAACTAGATGGTGCTCAGCTACCACTACAAACTGTTCTGACCAGGGACATAATAGAAGGTCCCAGTCAGAATGGGAGAAAAATGTAGAACAAAACTCAAATTCATAAAAACAACAACAGACTCACTGGACTGAAAGAGACTAGAGGAACCCTAAGGGTATCACCCTAAGATACCCTTTTAACCTGGAAGCCACTCCCAGAGGTCACCTTTTAGCCAAATAATATACTGGCCTCTAAAATAAATAACACCCATAAGGAATATGCTCCTTTAAACAATCAACTATATGAGACCAAACGGTGAACATTTACCCAAAAGCAAAGACGAGAAGGCAAGGAGGGGTAGGGAAACTGGATGGATTGAAACAGGGCAGGCAAGGTAGAAATGATGTGGGTGCTGACACACTGCTGGGACTAACCAATGTCATGGAACAATTTATGAATTGTTGAATGGGAATCTAATTTGCTGTGTAAACTTTCACCTAAAAGACAATTTAAAAAAAAAAAAAAAAAAGATACACCTGACACTCAAAATGGATCAATGACTTAACCATAATCTAAAACCGCAAAATTCGTAGCAGAAAACATAGAGGCAAAGCTTCAAGACTTTCTTTTTGACAACAGATTCTTACATATGACACTAAAAGTACAAACGACTAAAGAAAAAATGATAAGTTGAACTCTATCAAAATTAAAAACTTCTGTGCATCAAGGAACTTTATCAAGAACATAAAGAGACAACCCACAGAATGGGAAAACTTTTGGTAACCACATATCTAATATGGGTTTAATAACCAGAATATTTAAAGGACTACTATAACTCAACAACAAAAAGATAAACAACCCAACTAAAAAACAGGCAAAAGAACCTGAATAGACATTTCTCCAAGAAGATATACAAATGGCTGACGAGCACATGAAAATGTGTTCAACATCATTAGTCATTAGGGAAATGCAAATCAAAACCACAATGCGATACCACTTCACACCCAATAAGATGGCTATTATCAGAAAACAGAAAATAACAAGTGTTGGTGAAGATGTAAAGAAACTGGAACCCTTGTGCATTGCTGGTGACAATGTAACATGGTGTAGATGCTGTGGAAAACACAGAGTTGGGTGGTTCCTCAAAAACAGAGTTACCACATGACCCTAAGGAGCCCTGGTTGCACAGTGGTTAAGTGCTCACGGCTGCTAACCAAAAGGCTAGCAGTTCAAAGCCACCCAGTGGCTCCACAAGATGAAAGACCTGGTGATCTGCTCCTGTAGATTATAGCCTAGAAAAACCTATTGGGCAGCTCTACTCTGTCACATGAGTTTGCTATGTGTCAAAAATCAACTCAACAGCACCTAACAACAACAACCATATGACCCAGCAATTTTACTCCTAGGTTTATATCCAAAAGACTTGAAAGCAGGGACTTAAACAGATACTTGTACACCAATGTTCACTGCAGCATTATTCACAATAGTCAAAAGGTGGAAACAATCCAAGTGTCCATCAACAGGTGAATGGATAAATAAAATGTAGTATATACATGCAATGGAATATTATGCAGCCATAAAGAGAAATGAAGTCCTGATATATGCTGACATGGATGGACCTTGAAAACATTATGCTGAATGAAATAAGTGAGACACATACAGATATATATTGTATGACCCCACTTATATGAAATATCTAGAATAAGCAAATGCATAAAAACAAAAGTTTCTTAGTGGTTATCAGGGGATGGGGGAAGGGGACGTAGAGAGTAATTGCTTAAGGGGTACTGAGTTTCTCTTTGGGGTGATGAAAAACTTTTGGGAATAGTGGTGGTGATTGCACAACACAGTGAATGTAATTAATGTTACTGAACTGTATACTTAAAAATGGTTAAAATGGCAAATTTTTTGTTATATAAATTTTACGAGGATAAATTTAAAAAAAACTAACAGTATGGATATCATTGAATCATAGCATTAAATACAGTTCTTAGTGTTTTTGCTCTGGGGACTCTGAGACTCAGCTCCACCTGGGTGTGGACTGGGGCTCAACTCTCCCAGCCACATGACCTTGAGCAAATTCTCTAATCCTCTCAATCTCAGTTTGTAAAGGGTAAAGGTAGGATAACCTGCCTAGTTCACAGGCAGGTTCAGAAGGCTACATGAGATTAAAGTCTCTAGTAAGGCTTCTGGTACACAGAAGCATTCATGTTATTGCCTCTACCTTCACTTAGCTTTGATGCTGAATAGTTTTGTGTCACATTGTTTTCAGAATTAAAACTTGGAGAACAGATAAAAGATATATTTTGCTTTCAAATGCTAAAATTAAGTTTAAATTTAAGATGACGTGCTAACCATCAATATTCTGATAAGTGGAAAAAGCAAGTTACAAGAGAATATACTTAGTACAATCCTACTGTTATGACATATATTTAAAAAATGATTACTGAAGATGGTGGAAATAGGTGACTTTCACTTTTTCCTATACTTTTCTGTAATGTCTGAATTTTGTATAAGGAGTATATATTTCTGTTATAATTTCCAATTAGAAAAATATCTGATTTGAAAATATTTTTGTATACAAAAACTATCTGGGAAGAAAAATGTTTTTATAAACTTGGTAAAATTAATTTACTATTTTTTAAAAGGCATGAAGAAAAAAAAGATAGAAAGTGTACTAGTTTTTTTTTGTTTGTTTTGCTTTTCTAAATAAAAATGTGGCTTAAACAAAAGAAAAATATTTCCCTAATTGAGGAAAAGTATAAATGTAAGCTCCACAGGGGCAGGGATTTTATTTGTTCTTTAAATTCACTACTGTATCTCTAGGGCCTGCCACAGAACAGGAACTTAGTCAATAGTTGCTGGAAATGGATAAAATAAAAGTTCTATTTACTCTTACACTAAATTTCATTGCTTTGTATCACTACAATATTGGCTTATTCACCTTTAACCCCAATAGTCAGCACATTATCTAACAAATAATAGCCACCAATTCATCTGTTTGTCAAAAAAATGAAAAGCAAAAAAATAAATAAATAAATTTAATAAAAATTATTTCTGAAGCTGAAAAGTCAATAACAACTTGATAAACATCACTCTTAAACACTAAATTCATTCTGGACTGTAACCTCTACATACAGGATAAAGGCAATGACATCAAAGAAATGGGGGTATATTACCATTTCTAGATTTCATTATGTGATGTGTAAAAAGCTAACAATACTAACATTATTAATTTTGAGTCAGGAATGTATACAAAATAATAGTACAAAAAAGAGAATATAAAAATTACATAAATGAAGCTTTTTATATCATCAACACCTACGAAGCTTAACTCAACAAAATAATGAAACAAACAAACAAAAAAAAGCAAACCTACCTTGGGCCTCTTGGACCTTCCAAGTAACTGCTTCTAGGAGGATCTGGAAGCAGTCCACCTGACCTCACTGGCATGTCCTTCACTGCAGCTGAAGATTCCCCAAGTCCTTGCTCAGATGAGAATGAACTGTATGACGGAGTAGACTTATTCAGAGGAGCTTTAGAATTCACTTGTTCTGACGGGCCAATAGCTGACTGCATTGGAGGACGGTAAGTTGAGGGTGGGGCTGAACCAAAAGACACAGGAGTGGGAAGCAGTGCTGGCCTAGGTTTCTCTGGAACTTGTGAGCTCTGAGAACTGGAAGCTGGTGGAACTGGGGCTGTTGTTAACTGAGGCGGTATCCCTTGTGGAACTCCAGGGGGAGGTATTCCTGGAGGGGGTGTGGCCGAAGACAACGGTGGGAGGGGCATAACAGGAGGAGGTGCCGTTGAAGAGAGAGACGGTGGGGGCAGAACTGGTGGTGGCCCTGCAGAAGAGAGGGAAGGTGGGGGCAGAACTGGTGGTGGCCCTGTTGAAGAGAGAGATGGAGGCATCCCTGGTGGGGGCACAGAGGTTGGTAGAGAAGGTGGCATCACAGGTGGGGGCATGCCAGGTGGCGGCACAGTAGAAGGCAGGGCTGGGGGCATCACTGGAGGTGGTAATGATGGAGGCAGTACTGGAGGGGGCATTGTTGGTAGAGGTGGAGGCATCTGAGAATATGGAACAAAAGGAGGTGGCATTGACATGTTCCCCATATACTGATTCTTCATGTTTTGCAATGAATTGACTTTCTCCTGGAGATAGGTCTGAGAGGCTTTCATATGTCCCTGCCATGTTTTCCACTGTTTCTCATACTCCTGAAGCTGATCTTTATGAGGATAGGAATGGAGTTGTTCCTCCCATAGCTGAAACTCTCGCTCCCATTCTTGGTAGAGATGTTGAAACTGCTGCTGCTGCATTTCATAGTGCCGCAACTGCATATCTACAGACATGGTCTACAAGTAAAGGAATAAAAATTATTTTAAAACATTCACACAAGAGAATTAATCACAAGCTAAAATACTAATGAATTAAAGACATTTGAAGCCTTAAGAAATTAAAACACTAAAGACTTTGAGAGGCTAAGAATAAATTTGTCAAATTCTTTCAATGATCATTTTTCTTCCTTCTTTTGACTTACGTTTATGTTATTACAGAGTTAGAAAAATCAGCCAAACACTAAAGCAAATATCTACTTCATCAATGAGTATTTTCCAAGTGCTTAATATTAACACAGATCATTTTAAGAACTTGAAAAATGATTTATTATTATAAATATATAAATGCAAGATATTACCTCAAAGATACAAGAAAAACAAGTATCCAAGTTGCTTTATCTTTTATGATCTATTTGTTTAGAATTTTTTGTTGTTATTGTGGTTTGGTCTTTTCGGTGGATTATTTGCTTGTCTACTACTGTAGTGGTCTGTATGTGAAACACAGGTTAACTTGCAACTATGCAGTAAAAATCCTTGGTTCTTAAATTCCTTAACTATAGTACTATAACATTTAGCAAGAGTTGACGCCATTAGGAGACTCCATTATGCCGTCCTTCCGCAAGAGCATGTACATTATACCATACTTCCCAAGCCCCCAGGGTAATGTGACAGATAACTAGTTGGGCACCCCTTGGGAAACAACTGTTAACACTTGATATCTTTAGTACTTCACACTCAGATCTCTTTCAGAAGTAACAAATCCTTTAAACTTCTTGGGGCAATTTCCTATTTGTCAACTGAGAAAGCACTTGCCTGTATATGTGGTGGCTGCTGTATAATCTGCTGATACTGTTGCAGGATCTGCTGTAACTGAGTGTGCTTCTGCATTATTCCCTGATACTGGAAGCCGACTCGATGTTGCTGGTGCTGCTGCCAGTGTGCTGCTGCAGCCTGCAACTGTTTTAACCTGGCATCTTCTTCTGGGTCCTCAGACTAAAAATAAAAGAAAATACATTTTTATATAAATCATAAAACAGCAACGAAATTTAAAAAAAAAACTGAATATTTTATAAATGTACTACTGTAAAGTTCAGAATTCCTACATGTCTAGATGAATGAGACAAGCTATTCTATCTTTAGATAAAACACCTAGCTCTATCCCTACTGCTATTATGGATACTAATACAAAGGCATTTATAAACTCCAGTCTTCACTGGAATGATAATCCCACCATTCCTAAAGAGGAAACCATTTCACCAGCAGAAAGTGAACCTACGATTCCTGTCCTTTTCACTGTATGAGAGGTTTCGAAGCAAATCTCTTTCTTTTTCACCTTAGTCACTCTTCACCAAAGAACTACAATCCAATCACTATGTTTCAATAAGGTTTTCACATAAGGCTCTTGGGAGAACAATTATCTTTGGACCCGTGTGAGAACTTTCAATGCGCCAAACACTATGCTAAGTGACAAGGATTATCACATTTAATGCCTCAATGGCTCTATAAAATAGGCACTATTTGAATATGCCCATTTTGCAGATGAGGAAATTGAAGTTCAGGATGGTTAACTAATATGTCTAAAGTTGTCACCAACAAGTGGCGTTGCCTGGGCTCCTGCTTGGGCAGTCTGACTCTAGAGCTGAAGCTCTTAACTACTGCCCTGTGCGATCTACGTTATAAAACCATCCTGGCACCCCTTTAGGACTTAGAGACGCTCAATGCAGAAGAGTGTCTAATTCTTTACTCTCACTTAAACCAGGAAAAAAACATTTCTAAATCTGATAAGACATATATCTGATTAGTCCACAAACAGAATTGTACACATACTTAAAAAAATACATGTAACTATATATCTATGTATAAAGATGTACATAAATGAACCAAGAAAAGTCTAACAATTTAATAAACTATAGTAATTAATTACATGGTTACCTGGGGCTCCTCTGGTGGGAGAGGAGGTGGCTCCTCTTCATTAGAGGGGGGTAATGGAGGCTCCTCAGATGGAGGGGGTTCTGCTACTTGACTAGTGACAGGTACAGTAACTTCTTCTTTTACTGGCTCTGATGCATCCTTTGCTACAACAGGACCCTTTTTGTGTCCAGGCAGATGTACTTTTGTTCTCTGCTGCAAACTAAGCAGGTGCTGTCGGTACCAATACTGCTGCTGTTCCTAAAACATAAACCATTTTTAAGAATTTTAATTGACAATCCTTGTATCTCTGCAACTTGGTTTGATAGGGAGTTATATTTGTGTCTGTGTTCATGTATCTATATGTAAGAAAGGCAAATCTGGACTGAAAAAGGCAAATAAGTAAACAAGATGTTAATCAACAGTAGGTGAGAGAAAAATTTCAATTCATCCCCCAAATTTATAAATTTAAATTAAACGTATTAATTCAACATACTTCTCTACTCTTAAAATACATGGTTTTGGAGGTTAGAACAGTTATTTGGATAAATAATCAAAGTAAACTCAGGATTAGTATTCACAGCTACTTTTTTTTTAAATTGCAGTAAATTTAACAAAATATTTGCCAATTCAACAAGTTTTACATGTACAATTCAGTGGCATTGATTACGTTCATCACGTTGTACAACCATTACCACTATCCTTTTCCAAATCATTCCACCGCTATTAACAGAAACTCAGTGCCCCCTAAGCAATGACTCCTGTTTTTCCCCTCCTCTCACCTCTAGTAATCACTAATAAGCTTTGGTCTCTTTACATTTGCCTATTTCTTATAAGTGGGACCACACAATATTTGTCCTTTTGTGACTAACATTTCACTCAGCATGTTTACGGCGCATCTATGTTGTAACATGTACCAGGACTTCATTTCTCTTTATGGGTAAATAATATATGGATATGCCACATTTTGTTTATCCATTCATCTGTTGATGGATATTTAGGTTGTTTCTACCTTTGGGCTATTGTAAATTGTGCTGCAATGAACACTGGTGTACGAGCTTCAGTTTGCATACCTGCTTTCAATTCTTTTGGGACACAGCTACTTATTTTTAATCTGCCTTTAGTTTCTTTATATTTATCCACAGGGGGCTGTAATTAATGAACACACCTACTCCTCACTTATTGACTGTCACATTACCCGACATTTTGCATTCACGACAACGGTATAAAAATCTATTATCTGACTATTTTGTGCAGTAACGACGTATGTTTGGCAGTAACCAACACCAAGAGGTGAGGGGAGAGTAGTGTTGGCTGTGATGGTTAAGGTTACATGTCAGCTTGGCTGGGCCATGATTCTCAGTGGTTTGGCAGTAATGTAATGATGTAATTTAGCAGTCATATAATGATGTAGTTGGCAGTTATCTAATGATGTAATCTGACAGTTATGTAATGATGCAGTCATCCTCCATTTGTGATCCGACGTAGTCATCCTACATTTTCTTGTAATGCTGATTTTCACCTAATGACCTGGTCTTTGGAACCTAACAAAGTCATTAAGTGAGGACTGGGTATATAATCAAATAATCCTACTTCTCCTCTCTAACTCCTCTCTCCTCCAGTGCGCCTCCCTCTTTTAAACACCTATATATCATTAGTCTAGCCATACTGCACATACATTTTAAAATGCTTTTTACTTATTCTAAAAGTCTTGGCTTTTTCTTCCAAATCACACTGTAATTTTCCAGGAGCTTGTTTTGTGTTTCCATTTTTAAAAAATTACAACACTAGTAAGTCAGTTTAGAAAAAAATTAGAAAATAGAAGTAAACAATAATTAATTAATTAAAATCAATAAAAAATCTCACCACTCAGACTACAGGGTCAGTCCTCATTATCCCAGTATTCATTATATAATTCTCCATAATTACAACATTACATAAGAAAAGCAGTAGTTGTCATAACACTAAAATATTCACTAATGAACTGCCCTATATACCCTTATGATTAGCAACAGCATTTACTTCCACTTCAATTATAAGGAATGCAGGATTTTATGAAATTGATCAAAGTGATGTCGCATAACTTCTGAACTCACTAATAACAGATGAGGATCTGGCAGAAGTCTTAACCGGTTAACAACCAAAGAGAACTTTTACAACAGGAACTGGAAGAGAAGGATCAAAATATCTAAGGTTGATTGTCAACCTTTGGGAAATTTGATAAACTGTTTGGGAAACTGATAAATCCCAACAATATTTTTCAATACATCCAAAAATTAGATAAAAAGTGATGTATAATGCTGCCATACAATTTTGTAGCAAAAATTATAGCACAGAAACCCAATCTATACTTTATTATTTATTCATTCTAAGACACCATTCATTTTAAGATAACAATTCCACTGAACACAAAATCAGCTTATTTTCATCATTTTGGGCTTTCTCCTTCAAGACTGTGTCCAATGAATTCTTTTACTTTTTATAATAAACTTTTGGTCCCTATGCTAAATAGATTCATTTTACTTGGTCAGTTTCTAATTCAATTATCTTTGGATAACCAGGATTTTCTATACTGTTAATATTTTATTGTATCACTTTCCCAATTTTCCATATGTAAACAGATGCATAATATATACATAACCCATAACTTCTTTTCTCACTGAACATACTGTTTGTCACCTGTTTTTTTCACTCATAGAATATAATTTTCTTACGGGAGAGATGTCTTGTGCGTTTCTGATATCCTACTTGGTACTTAAGCATAGTGCTGGAACACACAGTAGGATGTCAAAAAATGTTTGTTGATAAATTAAGACTTCCCCTCTAGGCCACTCATTCCTATGACCCTGCAACTTGCTCCAATATGTTGGGAAGAACAAGCTCCATCTCACTAACTCCATCCTGAAGTGTGGCCCATGACTGAGATTTTTGTTTTTCATTATCATACACAGTCGTTAGATCCAGGGATATAATTACTTTTACTAACCAACGTAAAAAACCAACAAACAAAAAAAAACAAAACAGAGCATAAATGGGCATGATAGTCAATGACAATTTAGTATTAAAACATTTTCAACTTTTCTTCCATCATTTTAAGAAAATACTGAAAATAGCAGCAGGCTTATGCTTCAGCTCAAAAAATAAACTCAGTCCCTTTCAAAGAGAAGAAGTTAAAAGTTTCCTTTCTTAGTTTCTCTGAAAACATCACTAAAATATACAAAGATGCGAACTATCTTTTACAAACTAGAAGTCAATGGCTACAGACATGAAGAATGTACACGTCTAGACTCCTTACCACTTTGCACCCACCTTATTCTCATGCTTCGTATCTTTGTCTTCAACCCAGACCAGGGCTAAGAAGAACCTTTTTAGAGGCTCAAGTACTTGTTAATACACTGACAGTATGTCTCATATGCCAATTTCTATTGAATATGAACCCAATAAGCAGAAAACAGATCGAATTCAATCTAAAGTCTAAGGCTTCTGTACATTTCTGAAGCTTTGCAAATGAATAATGATGACATTGCTCAGAAATGTCCTCAGTAACCCCAAGAGAAGAGTGATTATCTCCCTATTTTAGAAAGGAAAAAGGGTGCTTGGGCTTGTTAATGAAGCTAGTACTAGACACCAGTTTTTCTAAATGTCCCATCTTACCAGACAACTTCATCTCACATGGGATATTGGTTCCTAGGTAGAGGAAAATCACAGCACATGTGTCACATTTAAAATGAGACTGAGTGAAGTGAGTTAAAATGTAAGGGATATAAGCACTATTTGTCACAAATATTTTCACCAAAAAGATGCTGATTTATTTACCAAATAGATGCTAATTTATTACTGACTGTTTTAAAGATCTGAAAGGTTACCTTCCCTATCCAGGTTGATTCTTATAAATTCCTGTAACACTGAATGTTCTATGTCTTATATTCTAAGCAGAGAAAAAGCCCTAGAAAAATAATGAATTTCTGTTTTAAAGTTTTATTTAAAATATATTTATTTTAAATATTGTTGAAATTTACATTCTACTCCAGGAATTGTTGTTGTTGTTAGGGGTCATCAAGTCAGTTTCAACTCATAGCAACCCTATGTACACCAGAATGAAACACTGCCCAGTCCTGCGCCATCCTCACAATCGTGCTATGTTTGAGCCTATTGTTACAGCCACTGTGTCAATCCATCTCCTTTAGGGTCTTCCTCTTTTTTTGTTGACCCTCTACTTTACCAAGCATGATGTCCATCTCCAGTGACTGGTCCCTCCTGATAACATGTCCAAAGTATGTGAGACAAAGTCTCGCCATCCTTGCTTCTAAGGAGCATTCTGGTTATACTTCTTCCAAAATAGATTTGTTCATTCTTCTGGCAGTCCAGGGTATATTCCATATTCTTCGCCAATACCATAATTCAAAGGCATCAATTCTTCTTCCGTCTTCCTTATTCATTGTCCAGCTTTCACATGCATATGGGGCAAATGAAAATACAAAACACCATGGCTTGGGTCAGGCGCATCTTAGCCCTCAAAGTAACAACTTTTTTTTTTACCACATTAAATAAGTCTTTTGTAGCAGATTTGCCCGATGCAATATGTTGTTTGATTTCCTGACTGCTGCTTCCGTGGGCATTGATTGTGGATCCAAACAAAATGAAATCCTTGACAACTTCAATTTTTTTCTCCCTTTATCATGATGTTTCTTATTGGTCCAGCTGTGAGGATTTTTGTTCTCTTTAAGTTAAGGTGTAATTCATCCTGAAGGCTGTAGTCTTTGATCTTCACCAATAAGTGCTTCAAGTCCTCTTCCCTTTCAGCAAGCAAGGTTGTGTCATCTGCACATTGCGTGTTGATAATGAGTCTTCCTCCAATCCTGATGTTCCGTTCTTCCTTCATATAGTCCAGCTTCTTGGATTATTTTCTCAGCATACAGATTAGTATGGTGAAAGGATACAACCCTGACGCACACATTTCCTGATTTTAAACCATGCAGTATCCCCTTGCTCTGTCTGAACAACTGTCTCTTGGCCTATGTACAGCTTTCGCATGAGCACCATTAAGTGTTCTGGAATTCCCATTCTTTGGGAATTCCATAATTTGTTATGATCCACACAATCGAATGCTTTTGCAGCCAATAAAACATAGGTAAACATCTTCCTGGTAGTCTCTGCTTTCGGCCAAGATCCATCTGATATCAGCAAAGATATCTCTCGTTCCACGTCCTCTTCTGAACCTGGCTTTAATTTCTGGCAGTTGCCTGTCAATATATTGCTAA